CTGGAGAGAGAGAGAGAGAGGCAAAAAGTGAGAAATCTCCCTCCCAACCCCCTGCAAGAAAATGACCATTCTGTAGTCCCTTCTCCTCCATTCTCCTCTTGGGATTTTGGGCGTGCATACACACATGCCTGGCATGAGTTTAAAGCACTGGGCCCGGGACTCAAACTACGATTGGCCGTGTGGGAGCTCAGCGCTGTAACCACTATGCAACCTGCTGGTCCCTGTACTGAAAATTTTAATCTTTATATAAGCTCATGAAAATAAAATACATTCATCTTCATTTATTGCTCAGGGAGTGTGTTTCACACACGGGATACAAAGATGAACAAAAATATGACGAGGTCTTTGAATCTTGGGGTTTACATTTTTTTTTCTTTTTCTGGAGAGGTTTTTGCTATAGGGTGCGTGCGCTCGCCATAAAGACAGAGAGAGACAGAGAGACAGAAAGAGAGAAATCACCCCTCAGGGGGATGGCTACATCCCAATCCCTTCTCCTCCATTCTCTTCTCGGGATCTGGGGCACGCACGCACATGTGCCCGGCGTGAGTTTAAGCCACCAAGTCCAGGACTTGAACCGCAGTCGACTACATGGGAGCCCAGTGACATAGCCATTACACCAACTACTGGTCCCTTGGGGTTTACTTTTTTTTTTTTTTCTTGAGAGGTTTTTTTGCCATAGGGCGCGTGCACTCGCCAGACAGAGAGAGACAGAGAGACAGAAAGTGAGAAATCACCGCCCCCCCCCCCGGCAGGGGGATGGCCAGGCCGCAATCCCTTCTCCTCCATTCTCTTCTCGGGATCTGGGGCACGCACGCACATGTGCCCGGCGTGAGTTTAAGCCACCAAGTCCAGGACTTGAACCGCAGTCGACTACATGGGAGCCCAGTGACATAGCCATTACACCAACTACTGGTCCCTTGGGGTTTACATTTTAAGACAGATATGAGACAACAGGGGAGACAGTAATGTCCTCTCCTTCACCAGAGTGTCCTGTTTATATTTTGGCTCTACCCTGTCCTGTACCTTCACTGTACAGTGTAGTCCCTGCCAGTGACATGTGGGTTTTTATAGTGACTACATGTCATTACTGACTGCTAGTGACCACTTGAGGGCGCAGATGAGGAACATTTTCATCTCGGCAGAGGATTCTACTGGACAGAACAGATTCAGCCAGTTCACGAAGCATTTTTCCTCTGTTTCCTCATCGGTAAAACGCGGATTTCTAACACTCTAATAAACTGCAATGCTTTTCACTGTCTCCTACAGTTCTTTTGTTCTTTAATTAATTAATTAGTTAATTAATTAATTAAAATTTGACCAGAGAGTGACAAAGTAAGAGAGAAGGAAAGCAAGAATGCAAGCTGCCAGGTCAGGGACTCGAACCATGGTCAGCCATGTGGGAATCCAGAGTCCTTAACCACCACGGCACTTGCCAGCCCCCAATAGCATTGTTTTTTTTTTAAACAAAATTCTAATTAAATTTAAAAACGTGGTGACCTTAGATGTTCAGTTTTTTTGTATAAACTCATTAATATATCAACTTAAAATCATTGATCTAAGTTAATCCTTCAATTATGCATTTTAAATTGGAGCCATAAGGCTGTTACTCTAGTAGGCCAAATTTCTTAGAACATCACAAGCACAAAAAATACCAAATATATTCAGACTCCTTTATAACATAAAAATATTAATATCATAGTTTTGATGCTCTTAAATACATTTCTATACTTAATTTTAAATCTTCTTGGGAGTTGAAAATGTGAGCTCTCCAGGTCAGATAGTTACTATCGCAGTTAGCTGAGCATTTTGGTCCATTTGGGCTGTTATAACAAGGTACCATAGAGTGAGCAACCCAGACAACAGAACTTGCTGTCTCACGGTTCTGGAGGCTGGGAAGTCCAAGACTAAGAGGCTGGCATATTAGCAATCTGGTGAAAACCTGCTTCCTGGTTCATGTTCTTACACAGAGGAAGGGATGAGAAAGCTCTTCAGGGTCTCTTTTATATTTTTCACGTAATTTTTTTCAGATGATGTTTATTATTATTTATTCTCATTTTTAAATGTTGTTTGTTTTTTGCTATAGGATGGGTGCACTCACTAGAGAGAGCTGGGGGGAGAGGGAAAGTGAGAAATAACTACATGGAGGAATGGCCACTTCTCTGTGCTTACTCTTCCATTCTTCTCTCAGGATTTTGGCCATGCACACATACATGCCCAGAGTTTTTTGGGCATGCACACCTACATGCCCAGAGTTTATTTTGAGCTATTGGGCCCAGAACTCAAACTATGCATTTAGCTATCTATGATCCAGCACCTTAACCACTACGCCACCTGCTGGCCCTACCTGGGGGAGATCTTTATTGAACCTCTTACCCTACTGAACCCAGGAGTGGTCATGGAACAGGCTCTGGCCAAAGACTTGAGCAGAGGAGAAACGTGCAGTCTCTGAGCAGCAGATTAAGATTAGCACGTGTTTTACCAAGTTGTCTTGTTTCCCTGCCATGAAATCAGCTTCTGTGCCTGATAGAATTTTCTCTGCTGAGACAGCTGGTGGCATGGTCATTGAGGTGTCTGGATCACACATGACCAACTACTTGTTCAAGTCTTGGAAATGGCAGCTTAAAAATAGGCCAGGTGTCGGGACCAGCAGAGGAAGTAACAGTTATGTCACTGGGCTCCCACATAGCTGACCATGGTTCAAGTCTTGGACCCGGTGGCTT